AGTTTCATTTTATGCCAAATACAGTGGAAAATCCCTATAGCGACACTCTGTATAATGGAAAACTCCGTATTACGAACAAAATTTGTTGTAATATTAAGTCTCCATACAAAGCGATGTATTAATCCCCATTAGGTAACAAAGTAGGGAATGTAGGCCGACTTGTAATTAATAGAGTCTCTTACCTTCTCAGAATTCCTTACCCTAACAATCTAATTACCGAGTCCTGAGTGTTTTCCTCGTAATAAGCGATTTTGTTAATGCCTTTATCGGTATGTATAAAAGCACACCATTGGTTCAATCAGTTCTAATTTGATTTAGTGAATACGGCGAGCATGGCGAATAAGCGAAAAATTTTATCTCTAGATGATAAAGTTGCTTTAATTCGGGAGATAGAACGGAAAGAAAAAAAAAAGTGATGTGGGACGTCGATACAGACTTACACCGTCGACTGTATCCACGATTTGGAAGTGCAAAGAAAAAATTATTCCGGCCGAAGCGGCAGTCAGTTCTAGTAAAAAACGAGGAAAGCCAAAATTTGAAGATTCGGATCGGGCAATGTTGCAGTGGTTCCAATAGCAACGTCTTAAAATCGTACCACTCTCTGGACCTATCGTTAAACTAAAAGCAGAAAAGTTTGCTGAACAGCTTGGCTCGGACGGATGGTTGGTTGGTTGGTTGGTTGGATGGTAAGATTTTATGGTGATAGATCAGGATTTGCCTACAAAAGCAGACTTGACAGAGGAAGCCGCATTACAACAAGCAAGAAAGGGTGAGGAAGAGCACCAAGACGAAGAAGAAGATGAAGAATCTGGGACCACCACCAACCATACAACAACCCCTATATGCAGTTAAGCTGCTAGAGAAATTTTTTATGTAGCATGGGGAAGATAACCCTCTCGAAGAAATGCAAAACTAACCAAAGCACGAGATGCGTATTGGCATACTAAAAAAATTCAAAAGAAAATGACCGATTACTTGAAAGATTAAATGTATTTCTTAAATATTTATATATTTATAACGAAAAAAAAAAACAGTCCTTTCAATTTCGGTATACAGAGTTCCGACTGTATGTAATTTAATTATATCATTAACCTAATTATTTCATTCTAAAACGGGTATATACAAAATATTGTGTTGATATTCCTAAAAACAAAAAGGATGTTTTTTACATAAAATCCTAATTCTAATCATAACAACGTAGAGACAAAATAGACCCGAATATCAGAAAGAAATATCCACTTAACACACATCAACTTAAGCAAATTGAACGCCGAAGCAGACTCCTACGCGGACCTGCAGGGAGCAGCATCCTTTACGATGTGTTTACCGTTAAACAAAGCTGTAAGTGACGATATACAATGAACACGTAGGAGAGTCCATTTAGCGGCTTAATTGGCCGTACCATCAGCACCAAATTAGGTGTAACTTATGGGACAAATCATCCAAATCCAAAATTGGTACACTAGATTACGCGCAACCAAAAATTTTGCGAAAAGCAAGTTTAAGGTTTTTTTGCATTCCAAAAAACTATGAAAGTAAAAGAGTTGCGATTAAATAGCAAAATGAGTCAGTGGGCATGAAAATAATATTAATCGATTTTTTTTCTTCAAAATTTTGGGTCGTAATTATCTCCACGAGCTATTTCCGCTCACTTAAGTGTCGATTAAGCAACTTCCTTCGCCGAAGAAACGCAGGTGGTTAAGAATTTCTATAATTATTGACCCCAGCTGATAAAAATAAGAATTACAATTGAAGCAGAATAGAAAAATGGCGGTGTTCTTTTTTGTCCAACTGAGAACCACTTATTTCTCACGACGTCGATTTTACGCCTTTTATTTTATAACCTTAAAAGTGGGCTTATTCAGATTGGGGTTCAGTTACCCCTTGGATGAAACTTGTAGTTGGTGTCTACTATTTGTCAAAATTGGTTAAAAAAGAATTATTTCTTTGTTATTTATTTTCAAACAAGTAGAAGCGTTTATCAGGTGATCGTTCTTAAGAGTTTAATCCAAATTGCAATATGTTCGTATATACTGTGAAAACTCCGTATAAAGTAAAACAAAATTTGTTGTACTATTAGGTCTCCATACAAAGCAAGTATTAATCCACTCTGTATAACGAATTTCTCGAAAGAAAAAAGGGCACAACAGGTAACAAAGTAAGGAATGTAGGCCGACTTGTAATTAATAGAGTCTCTTACCTTGTCAGAATTCCTTACCCTAATAATGTTAATGCCTTTATCGGTGAAAGATTTTATCTCTAGATGATAAAGTTGCTTTAATTCGGGAGATATAGCGGGGAGAAAAGAAAAGTGATGTGGGACGTCGATACGGACTTACGCCGTCGACTGTATTCACGATTTGGAAGTGCAAAGAAAAAATCATTCAGGCTGAAGGAGCAGGCAGTTCCAGTAAAAAACTAAGAAAGCCAAAATACGAAGATTTGGATCGGGCAATGTGGCAGTGGTTCCAACAGCAATGTCTTAAAAATGTACCACTCTCTGGACCTATCGTAAAACTAAAAGCAGAAAAGTTTACTGAACAGCTTGGCATTATTGATTTCAAGGCATCGGAAGGATGGTTGGGGGAGTTCAAACAGAGACATAGTATAAATTATGGACAGATAAGGGACGAAGCTCGCGATGTCGACAGAAACGTCACTAACGATTGGCTGGAGAAGACGTGGCTAAAACTAGCAGAAGAGTACCCTGCCGACGACATTTTTAATGCTGACCAATCTGGTATTTTTTACAAAATGGCGCCAGATAAAACTTTTAAATTTCGAAGCGTATTACAGCTGATGGACCAGAGCGTAATAAAAAGTCTTAAGAGTCGATACAGGAAAAAAAAATGATCAAGTCCGAAAACAAATTTTACACTAATATGCAGTCAACTTTATTAGTAAAGCTTTGAAAGAAGTGACAGCAGAAACATTTCAACATTCATATCGTCATGCAGGACTTATTATCGAGACAGAATGCGAACAGGACTTGGAAGATGATCAGCCACTAAGCGAGTGGGTTGAAGCAGTTCTAAACAACAATTACGTTTACAAGCGAGGAGTTGGAAGATTTTATGGTGATAGATCAGGATTTGCCTACAACAGCAGATTAGACAGAAGAAGCTATATTACAACAAGCAAGAAAAGGTGAGGAAGAGCATCAAGACGAAGAAGAAGATGAAGAAGTTCATCTCCGACCACCACCAACCATTCAACAAGCCCTAAATTCAGATAAGCTGCTAGAGAATTTTTTTATGTATCATGGGAAAGATGCTCCTTCGATAAGAATACAGATAAATATTTATTAGAATCTTACAATTAAAGATTTTTTGAAGGTTCCTGCTTTTTAAAACATCAAAATGAGGAGACCATAGAATGAAGCGGATGTTCCCCTGTTCGAAGAAGACATGGAAAACAATGCAGAATTGGAAGACGAAGTGGAGATGGTAGTCGAACCTAATGACAATCTAGAAAACGAACTACCTCAGCAAATAAAAAACGGTTATATTTGTCTTCGGATGCTAAACAAATTGTTTTGAATGTTTACAATTTTGTAAGAAATCCAGAAGGGGAAGTAGGAGCAGCAATAAAAACAAGTGACATGACCAAAGTTCCGAAGAAAAATTGTTGCAAATGGGATAATAGTCAAGAGGAAAGTGAGAGAAGATGCTGGTACTTCGCGATTTTTTAAAGAGCAGAGTGAATAGTGTTTTACCACTAGAAAAACTGCAAAAAAAGTACTGACAGGCTTAAACATTAGTTGTGTCACAGAGTTGTGGCGTACTTTTTTGAAGAAAATAGTGTTTCAGTTCCAAATAATTAATAAACGTCAATTATTAATGGAATCTCAAAAAACTTCGCAATGGAGGGTGGATTACTTAAATGCAAATAGAGAGCAAAATAGGCCAATGGTGTATTTACACGAAATGTGGTTCGACATTCCGGACACAGTAAAAAAGGATGGTGTTATAATAGTAACAAGTGTGTACTAGACGTGCCGCCTTCACATGGAAAACGCATAATAATTCTTCATGCCGAATGGAAGATGCCTTATTTTTGTCTGCCAAAAACGTCAAAGATTCAAGTGAAGTGCCATGAAAATATAACCGCGGAAAGATTTGAGGGCTTGTTTGAAAATAAACCGGTGCCAAAACTATTGGTTTTTGATACAGTTTGGAGAATGGAACTTCCATCCATCTTGCCATATTACTTTTGACGTAAATCAAAGCGGAATAAATATATAATGACGGAAGGGCCATGATCTGAAGTTCCCTGAATAAATTTTTACATGAATGTTTATTAGTTACAAGCATCATGTAACGAATAGCCCGTTTTTGTGCTAAGAAGACCCGGTATGCACCAGTGGCTAGACCCCAATAAATTATACCGTAATCTATCACTGATTGGAACAGCCCATAGTCCACCAGCTTTAAAACGTCAATGGATGCCGTATCTCTAATAGTTTGGATTAAGCTATGAGCAGGAGTTTAATGTGGGCAATATGTTGTCGACGTGATGATTCCATGTACGTTTGTTGTCAATGTGCAGACCGAGAAACTCTTTTGATACTTTATTATTATTATATTTAATATTTTGTATATTAATAATGATACTATGTAGAAATTTAAAGAAATGTACTAATTTTTTATTGCTAATTGCTCGGCGAAAAGGGTTAAAAACATACTTATATCCCACATGTTAGTGTAGGTGGATAAACTCCTAGGACGGTCCTGGAATGGTGGCAGGGTGTTCTATAAGGGGCTGCGGTTTTGGAGTAAGCGGGCAAAGTTAATAACGGGGTCCGTTGTAAAAGCACTATATTTCTGGCACCAGTATAATGGCTTCGCCCAATAACAATAGGTCCGTCGAGAGCCAACACGACGAAGATTCCGGCAGAGTATTCTCGTCAGGAGGCTTCTTTGTGATGCCACCCCCAACCGCCTCTCCATTCGCACACACACGCAACGAAGCGACGCCGAAAATCAATCTTTCGCGCTTACCAGATGAAATCCTTGCAGTGGGAGCAAAACGTCGGCTGTTTGAAGAATCTCGGTATGAACATGTGGTCCTTGATCACGTAGACGTTTTTTTTCCTTAACGCGCCCTTCCTACCCTTAAGCCGCAGCCCGAATTTGGTGTTCATGTCGTTCTCGTCATTGTTCAGTTCCTGGTCCTCGGCCATTTTGGCGGTTTTCTTCTCGCGCCTGGGTTCGCGAAAAGTGTCGCGAGATCGATGGCGATCCGGATAGCGTAAACCCGCGACCACCAAAACCGACGACGTCAAAGCGACTACTCGCCAAATGTCAATATTCAGGTATTTGCCGATGTCGCTTCGAGCCGGTGCAACAGATGATCGGGAAAGTCTCCTACGTTTCGTCGCGGGTCTCTCTTTCTTCCGCAGCGGTCGGAAAAAGACCGATAGGGAACTCTCTCCGTCGCTGCCGTTCAATTTCCGCAGCGTTGCCGCTTCTACGGAAATTTCCCCATTTACTTAAGGTCTTGCGTTTTTACAAAATTAAAAATATACTTAAGATGTATGGTGGGCTTGCAATGTTAAATCGAATTTAAGGGATTTAATTGTATACGTCTTGTTAAAAAGTCGCTAATATGACCTTGCTTTCCTTAAAAGGACTTAGGTCGTTTTTGTTTTGTTACAAAAAGTGTTAGATAATAGAAATAAATGTAGTAACAAGTTATTCGTCAACATTCTCGGTATGCCGGAGTTATTTGAAGTAGTTATGGTGTTCCGGAGGTACATACCGCATCATGTGTCCGTATTTTAGTGATGCGATGCTTCTTATTCTTTTATAAAACAATGCTAACAATCCAATATTCCCAATTTTTTTAGTTCTACCCTGACGCAAGAATTTTTGTTTAGTTGGTTATTTCCAACAGCCTATGAGCAATACCGGAAAGGTAGTGGTGCAGTAGTCCAATTGGTTGTACGACTACAACCATTCTATGCCAGTGTTTGATACTGGCGTGTGATTGAATTAACCTATTGGGTTGGTGAAGTCATCACTGCAGGCGATATTTGAAAGGCACAAGTTTTTTCCAATTAATATTTAATCTTTATTCTTTGGGGAAAGTAGCTCTTTTCAGCCAAGCAGCTATTCACATTCTTTTGATGTTTGTGATGTGTTTGCCTTCTTATCCGCATCTGAAAATATTTGAGTATTAAGAAAGACAGGTTTTATATATCTGTACTTTATAAAAAGAACGAGACTGGTATCGTATATGTTCAAAAAAGAAGATTTGAAGCTGATAGTACTGTCATGAAAGTGATCTTCGATGCTAATATCCACGATGATGTAGGTATCCGTTTATGTATTTCATTTCATTAAATACAAACCTCATTCAATTCTCATCGGTAAGATCTCTTTCATGAGAGTAGGTGCTATCGCGCGCAAAGAAAAAATATAGAACAAATATGACTTTTCAGTTTGACTATTTTCATGCAATATTTTTTGTCAACCTAAAAATTTTCCTAGTTCTTTTTGCTCGAGATGGTACCTATTATCAAATGAAATAAGCCTTAAAAAATTGGAAAACGTTTTCATGTGAAAATTGTACGTAATGCAGGGTGATCCCTAAAATTAATACTCTGTTTTGGGGGAGTGATTCTTGCATCCATTTTAAGACAAACTGAAAATGCATTTTTGTTTGGGAGGATTTTCTCTAATATTGCTTACTTAGTAGACTACACAACAATGGTTCGTTGAGCTTAGAATTTATCTAATCTTATGTTATATATTACCAAAAAGCTTTACTTACATGAATTATTAGTTCTTCGGTAATAATAATACCACAAAAAATAACTAAAATAAAAAAAAATAAATAAAATGAGATAAAAGTACTGACAGCAGTAAGCCCAGAAAACAAAATATTCAAAATAGACACCAAGTCGCCGTATACCGCCAACAAAAACAAAGCTGAAAAGAAGAAGCCGATGAGATTCGAGCGAGTCCGGCACGGCACGACCGCGAGTAGTTGCGTCATTCCGGTTTTTTTTAGGACTTGCCAACACTGACGTCAATGTAGATGTGCACAAAAACTTTGCCAATAAAATGTCTCCCAAACCACCACAACTTAAAAAAACCCAAAATTTAACCTTTTGGGTTTCATTTTGTTTTAGAGTTTTTCACTTTTTTCCCTGATTTTTATTCTAATGGTCCCATTATGGAGCAACGGCCATCTATTTAGAGGATATCTGTGGTATGTCGTGTACAGTAAATCCGCAAGCTATTCATTCAGAGGATATTCCTGGGATGTATTTTACAGTATATCCTTAGTTATATGCTTACATTGACGGATATACTGGGGATATTGTGTGCTATCTGAGGTATTTGTACTTCGATTTTTTGAAGTATTTTTCTAAGACACATAAATAATTACTTAAGTAATAAAAAACTTTGATAATAATTTTCTTATATATAATTATAATTTAGAATTTGTTATAAGTATAAGTATTTGAACAATGAATTTCAAAAAATGCGGTAAGAAAATACATAACAATGGTGCATCTAAAAAATCTAGAAATTGCGAGCAATTTCAAAGACCGTGTAGGGAATTTATTGGGACTTTTGGTGGCAACGTTGCAATTTTCAGTGCGGCAGAGGTTTGGACGGGACCCGGTGTTGTCGGTTTGTTTTCGACTACCTAATCTTATTCGGGTATGGTATGTCTCGAAATATCCCGTCTTGGCTATTCACGGCAATTATCGAAATAAGACGCTTCAGTCCGATATAGATGCCATTTTACAAGAATTATTTAACCATTGAGTTTGAACATTAAATTTGTAGTCGCCTTTAAATTTACTTAAAATCCAACTAGTTCTACTTAGAATATAAGTAAAAAGTTACTCAATCAGAAAGAGATACTCATATAGCACACTTTAAGCCACTGCGCTAGTTCAAGAAGAGTCATTGAACTATACAAATGATACACTTTATTTTTTAATATGGGTATTTCCTCGCTCGGATCCAAATTTTATCCCAACAATTTTAATTTACCTAACTGTTGCCAAAATTAACATTAATAAACGCGGTCCCTGCCGTATCGTTCAGGCTTTTGACTGCAATTATCAAAATACACGAAAATCTAATTTGAGGGATTCAAAGAACATATTTTTGTTGGATTATTTATAATTTAAACCGTCTTATCCATATAGTCACAATCTGTCACATTTTAGAGTATTAGGTATCATGTATCATCATGTGACGTCACCGCCTATAATTAATATGCATGCGCAGAACAAAAACAATCGTATATATGGGAAAATCCCTCCATGGATGTCGGCGGTGGGCGAGTGCCCATGGTAGACTTGAACGATAGAAGAAGAGATGTTTTTTTGTTAATCTATAACATCCTAACCAAACTTCAGTCATAACCTATTTTTACTTATAGAAGACCACATTGTCAATACAATCCTAACACTTTATCTGAGTAAAAAAATAGTATTTGAACTATCTTAATGTCTAAGAACTTTTTTACTTTACTTAAAAATAATTGCGTTGTTGCGTAACTTCACATAAGTGGATACGACAGCACTGCGAGCTACACCACTAACAAACATCTTCTACATATAGCATTTCCCATTAACAATAATAAAAACGTACAAGCAAGACTTCAGGTTACCTCGTTCCCCGTTTTGTTAATGTTTCCTTGACCTGACACGCTCAATTATGTGGGATTATCAGCTGATTGAAAAATTATAAAAATTTCGATGTATTTTGTAGGGGACAACACACGCCTTGAATTAGCTGAATCATTTTCAAATTATCACTCTTTTATTATTAGAATTTCGAATGAAGAAAAATTTTGTTTGGAACAAGTCTTACGTCGAGAAGATCTGGCAACGTAGCGTAGGTTTCTGCGAATTCGCTCGAGTCTTCCGCATATGGGGTAAATCTGACCGATTCGGTGGGCGGGTTTGATTGGTTTTCGAGTGGATGGCTGCTGTCAGAAGTTCAAAGTGGGTAGCGAATATTTAACGCTCGTCAGAACGGTGATATGTTGTGTGACACGCTGCCAGAGGTTTTTATTTATACGTGCTGTATTTTTATTAGTAACGCCATCTATGTGCTACTGTATGAACTATTAGTGCAAATGCGTATGTTGTTGTATTAAACTTTTGTACCTTTCAGAATATTTCATAATTTATTTATTTACTTACTATGTTATTTTATGTTAAGACCAATTAAAATATTTTAAACAGGCAATTTGCAGTGTAAACAGGATACACATTGACTTTGTTATCATAGAACTCTACTTAGCTACAAACCCAGGAAAATTGAAAACATATTAATTATTGGTTTCTTTAGTCATCGTAGAGTATAATGTATTCTGTGAAAACATTTTTGATATTTCCTGACGTTTCGCCAATCATCCTGTTGACTTCTTCAGGGCCAAATTGAAACTGTCTCTGAGGCTGTATCTGTGTATGTATTAACTATACTGAAAATAAATATTTGATTGTTTCGATTAAATATTAGGAGAACAAAATACAATGGAAATATTGCAAATCGACGTAATATATCCCGAATTTAACAACCGCCATAAATGTTTAACGGCAAAATCGAAAATAAATATTTGCGTTGGAGCTGAGCAAACAAAAACCTCGTCGCCAGTTAAAACGGAATTTAAATGGCGACTAGTTAAACGATACGAAGGCATATGCTTTGTGTGCTTTGTGAAGAAGGATAAGTAGGTTTAGTGAAGATATGTTATGCGTGGGTAACTTCCAGCAGCTCTGCTTTAAATTTTCTGCGGGTATGGTATGTCTCGAAATATATCGTCTAGGCTTTTGACGCGAATTATCGAAATGGACCACCCAATACAAATAACAGCGATTCCCAATGATATTTCTTCAAATACCTGTCGCGTCCTGGTAGAAGAAACTTCAAACCTTCTTTTGATTAGCTTACCAAATTATCCCATGTTTTATGGTTTTCCATTTACGGCTAATAATTTAAACACTTTTTGATTTTACGTTTTTACCCATAATCGAAACACCTTGTACATAACCCAAAAAATGCCCCGAGTAAAAATCATAGAACTGGATCTCGCGCGTTTCCTGGTATACGAATTTTTTCAATAGAATCTATATGCATGGTCATCGCACCTAGATTGAGTGAGAGATATAGCGACAAAGATTCTTTAAAATATCTCGAGAAACGTGTGCGATAGACGAAAAAACCGTAAATACAAAAACTGTAGGCCTCGGTGGGGCCTTCATTAGTGCCCCAACCAAATAGAAATATAATTTAATGTCGAAAAGAACAATTTTCAGGGCCTTTTAGATTTTTGTCTAAAATTGAAAAACCCCGTATATAATCGAAACAATGGCTGAAATGAAAGTTGTTGTCCTGGATCTCTCTCATTTCCTGGTT